CCTATCTGTATACCAAATTTCATCAAAATCTGTTCATTAGTTTCGGCGTGATTGACCGACAAACATCCAAATAAAGAAACTTTCACATTTATAATATTAGTAGGATTGTTTTTAATAAATCAACTTTCTGGTAAAAATAAAAAGATCGGTCATATAAGAGGTTGCATTTTACAGGAATGGTCCCGTTACACCGGCCCTCAATTTTTTTTTTTTTTTAGTTATCTGTAACGTAGACATTAATAATTTGTACTTTAAGAAAATGTCCACGTATTAAAATTGAAAAGACACCCTGTGATAAAAAAAGGTACGTGCGTAGAAGCAGAAGAATGATGGAGAGGAGAGCATTTACCCTAAAATTATTTGGCTCGATAACTCAAGACATTTTACACTTTCTAATAGATAATTTGAAAATACTTTGAGTTTAATTATTATTAATTGAAATGACCATCTTTTGCAAATTCTAAGTTTTACTAAAACTGATTAGATTATGATTATGTACAGAAGTTTCACAAAAATGATTTAAAAGAACATATTCAAACCTAGACGATGACATAAGACGCATTAATTACGATTAACGTTAACGAGAATTGCTTTCGTTATCTTAATAAGCAAATTACAGGAAAATTTATGCAGAAATGTAAACAATAAATTCAAACTATGTCAACAAATAATTGGCGTTTCATCAATGTAATTTATATTATGCTCTGAATAAGAATTACAAATTAATAAATGATTATTAGCTCTGACACCTACAGGCGTATTTTTACTGCGGCGCAAGCGTAAATCGTAAGCGTTAACTTTATTTTGTATTTCATTATCAACAGCGACAAAATGTAAATCATAATCAATAAAATATCTGTAAGTATCAATTAATGAAATAACGGAGGTAAAAACGATGGAATATTTATGTTTAAGGTTTATTTAATAAATAAATAAAATAATTATTAATGAACTGTAATTAACTAACCAATAATATTTATAAGTAAATATGGCAATAGTTGCCCCTCAGTATTGCTGTGCCCTGACAGGGCGTCATTTGTACAGAATCATCTATATGACAAAACATTGTAAAAAATCATCTTTATGACCTAGGACTTGCATTGAATAAATTGAATACAAATATTGTAAGATTTATAAATGTTGAGAACCTCCTTGTAGCAAGCAAAGACAAATATAAACCGCACGTGCGTTTTGGATAAAGCTACCCTTATCATCTTTATGGCTCTATGCCCCGAGTGACAAGTAGTAAACATTGAAAAACATATTAATTTAAATCAATAACAGTATAGTTTATTGATGTTAGTAAGTGACACATTGCACCGTAAACTGGCCTCCCCAAAATACTTATGTTGGAGTTAATCCAAAAGTTTGTCTCGTTTTACACAAATGTGTATCTTACGTAAATTGAAGGCCGACTTATTTATAAAGCAGACGGTTTCATGTGATGGTTTGTCTCATATTATTATAAATTTTAACGACGTCTGTGGCTGCTGAACACTTTTCTAAAGCTTAAAATGATAAGCTTAATGATTTTCGCTTTTAGTATATGGAAAATACTTCTGATGTCGATTGCCATAATAATGCCATAAACTAATTACGACAGAATACGACATATTGTTTTCTTTATTAGTTTATTTTATTCCATAAATTTAATTGATCAAAAAAGTGCGATCACTTCACTGAACTCAGGTAACCATACATTATGTGAATTCAACATTTCCTTTGGATTAAAACCTTTCTTAGGCACCAGCCTCTCACAAACTGTACCATTTGGTTTCTTGTCAAATGAAATAAATAAATTATTATTATTATCTGGGATGCATCTGTCTAACTCTCTAATGATTCTAACCATAGAATACGATGTCTTAGCGATGTTGTGTCGATATTTAATTTCATTTTATTACCTTGACATATGGTTTTGATATTAACTTTACCAAATTAGTAATCTATCCCAAATTAAACACCAGAAGACATGTCAAAGAAGTAAGATGAAACGAAATAACATAACATCGACAAGATGTTTCCTATGACTAGAGAGTTACACCAATCATAAAGGTTTAAATATTAGTTTATTAGTATCTATGGGCTTTATACCGTACAATCTAAACTGCCATGTCTTGAGGCGGTTCTAGGCTATAATTTTTTTATAATAAATCCTATTAATATTATAAAGGCGAAAGTTTGTAAGTATGGATGTATGGATGTTTGTTACTCTTTCACGAAAAAACTACTGGACGGATTTGGATAAAACTTTACAGCAATATAGGTTATACATCAGAATAACACATAGGGTACTTTTTACTGGGAAAACTTCTCACTCCCACGGGATACCGACTTCCACGCGGACGAAGTCGCGGGCGTCCACTAGTAGGGATATAAAAATTACCTCAATATAATTTTAATTATCATTAATGATGTAATTTCAATTAAACAAATGAAAACAGAAACTATTACCAATAGTTTTTGAGATAAACCGCGGACAGACGGATATGGCGAAATTATTAGAGGTCTTTGTTTACTACGGAACCCTAAAAAAGAGCATAGAAGGTTAGGTTAGGGGGCACTAATTTTCCGCACTTAGACGCTCTAATCGTTTCATTGTCCGTAATAAGAGCATACAATCAATTGTATCGGCGTTTAAACAGTTGAAGGCTGAATGATCTAAGCGCCATTTTTCTTTTTTTTAATATCAAAATCATCTAAAGTTGTCTTTATTATAATCACATACATCATTCGGATTCCAATTAAGTAGCTAACTAAAGCATTTGTATTATGAAAACTTGAAAACGGCATACAATACATATAAATAAATCGATGTCTCCAAAAATAATATAAAAATCAATCTTTTAATCTTTGATATGAATAATAAATCTTTATAAAAAAAAAAATACTATACCCTTTATTGTATTGGTTATATAGAATATGCGATATGTAATTATTATGACCTTATCTGCAGCTGTGTCTGCAGTATATGTGGATCTAAGCTGATTTTATTGTTATTATTATGAAAAGCAATATTGGTCGACTCCATGCGAAGCTGCACGACTTACATTTATTTTTTAATTACGAAGAAATAATAAGATTTTTTACATATTTCTCATTCTAATTTATTTCTAATATTGTTTTGCCAATTCGAAAATAGTGATCACAAATACACATGGTATCTATTGTTTTTTGTTTAAGTCATACGATGTAGTTTTAAACAAACTGGAGGTAGTAGTTTTAAACAAAGAAGGATTCTCCATTTGACTGAATATTGTTTTTCTATCTAATTATAAAACAATGTAATTAGATTTCTGATTTCTCTTCACTGAACTAATATTATGAAATTGGTCTAAAGATTATTATGAAATTGGTCAAATTTTTATTAGTTTACTGGTGGAAATATATCTATTCTTTTGCATAAACTAAATTTAGGTTTAGCCCGTTCAAACTATGTTTTCAATTATAATAATAAATAATATAACAGAATTACTATTTATTTATTACTATAAAATAACATGACAGATGAAAGCTTAGTCTATTTGTTGGAAAACGAAACTTCCTCTAATTTTGCAATGCCAATACGACTCTAATATCGTATTTTTCGGTAATTTATGACGCATCGTAGATGGGATCTGACAATGCCGCAGCCTCTGATGCTCAGTGAATCGATACGGATATAATTTTAATGAAATTATAAAAAAGATTCAAAATTTTCCGAATATTGGTGCGAGGGCAAATAGAATAGAACCTCAGGTGCCATCTGTTATAGATAAAGGTAAACACAATTGGCACCACTGTCTAGAAATCGTATTGATAGTGCAAAATAATGCCTACAAAAAACAATGTTAACTTACAAAATAAATAAATTACATCGATAAACAAATCTATAGACTGTTTGATAACTTGCGTAATCTTAGACCTTGATGTTGCGGTCAATGACACCTTATTAATTAATTACTCACCTACTATTGGATTATTTTCTACTTTATTTTACATTTCACTTGCATTGTATTACTAGCTGTCTTCTCGCTAGAATTTCTATAACATAATAGTTATATGATCTTCCCAATATTTATTTTTTCCAAAAGTTAATAAAACCTATTGAAACCGTTTGTTTCTTCCCTTATTTTAAATTTATTTTCATGTTGGTATTTCTATATTAATATTAATGGATAAAAACTCAGAATAGAATAGAATTTTCCCTAAGTCCATTAATCTCTTCGGTTGCGTGTAAAATGCGTGTAATCCGCCCAAACGTTGTTTCATGGTCATTTTCATTATTAAATCTTAACATGACACTAGATATTCTATATAAGTATAGGTATAGTATAAAGATTCAGACGCTTCCCACTATCTATAGTCTATACGTTGTGATCTTTTTAACTGTACAATTGATTTTAATAAGTTTTTCATCAATATAGAGAGTGATTCTAGGGGAAGATTTATTCGTATAATACTTATTTGCTATAGGACCACGTGTGGGCAGAAAGCTTGTATTAGATTAGTTTTTTTTTTAATTATATTTCATAGACACGTTGGCATCTGGTTTCATTTTATAGAAACGTTAAAATTATTCATATAAACAGCAAAGGGTAGGTAACGTTGATATAACGTTCATATTTAAAAATAGTTGTTTTCCCGCGACTTCGCGTAAATAATAGCTTACCGTATGTGAAAGAATGTTTGAAATCGATCCAGTTGTCTCGGACTCGGGCCCCATACAATGCAAACAAACAAACTAGCGAACGATCAAATGGTTACCCTTTATACACATATTATCTACAGATATAAATTATTTTATTTTGATATACCTAAATTATTTTAAGAGACGTCTTATAAAATTTCAAAATATGTTTTCAATATTTTTATCTACGCACATGAATCAATGTTCTCTTCTTGAAGTTTACCATCGAAAGATAGAGGCTTAAAATAAATCTAACTTGTTTTTACAAGTAACTCGATGTGCTTTATGATTTTGAGAACTTTAACTAAAATATGAATTTTCGTTGTTTCAGATTTCAACCTGTTTCTTCGAAATATTGAAATGTTACTCAGATTACTAAAACTGTAATCCTTATGTCAAGAAGGTACACAACATTTACTAAGCGATCGCGGCACAACATAAAAAGTGATCTTTTTGAAAGTGTGAGTACGAGGACCAGCCCGTCCTTGATGTACTCGACAACTTACAATCCTTGCGCCCTAACCCTTTGTATATCGAAGAGACCTTGTCGTTACTCCGCCAGAGATCCCAGATTAAGACTCTGGTCGAGAGAACTAAGCATCTCTTCACCGTAGAAGAAATTTGATTAGAAATTCAATACTAGACCATTGTCTCGAAAAGGAAATAATTAGAGACAATCGAGTACGCACTAGGCAGTACTTAAGAGATTCCTATTGAAAAACTAATGGACTCTCAAACAGCCTACAGCAATGGAATTCCAGGCAAAGAGAAGTCATTTAAGTATGAATCGAAAGTACCGTCTGAAGAGGAGAAGACTACGTCACCACTTCTTGACAGAACGAGTGACATCAAGTATATAGACTCACAGGACGAGAAGCACGATACAAGAGATGTTGTGAAGTCTGAAAACGATCTCAACACTATCAATTCAATGAAAACGGAATCCAATAATAAAGACAGAGATAGTTTATCTGTTTCTTACCACAAAAATGACGATGATGCCAGTGCTAATGAAGGTGTTAAGTTTTTGGGACTTGGGGACGCTGATAGTATTTGTTCAACCAAACCACCATCAGAACATTCGCCGCAAATACCAGATGGAGGATGGGGATGGGTTGTAGTTGCTGCCTCTTTCCTTGTCGCAACGGTGGCTGACGGACTAGCCTTCTCTTACGGACTGATCAATGAGAAGTTTGTTACCTATTTTGAACAGAGTGAAGCTAAGACTTCTGTTATTGGCAGCTTATTTATATCAGTACCTCTAATAGCTGGACCGGCTATGAGCGCTCTTGTTGATAGGTATGGCTGTAAAAATATGACTATATTGGGAGGAATAGCATCTACAATCGGTTTTGTTGCTGCCTCTTTCAGTAATTCAGTTGAAGTTCTTTGTGTAACGTTCGGGTTGATGGCTGGATTAGGAATGGGTTTACTGTATGTAACAGCTGTTGTATCTATAGCGTATTGGTTTGAGAAGCGACGAAATTTAGCTGTCGGACTGGGCTCTTGTGGTGTTGGTTTTGGAACTTTCGTATATGCACCTTTAACGACATACCTTTTGGATGAATTTGGTTGGAGAGGAACACTGTTACTTCTTGCTGGTACTGTGCTTAATGTATGTGTTTGTGGAGCTGTAATGAGGGATCCGGAATGGTTGATATTGGAACAGAAAAAGCAACGCAGGCTTAACAAAGCCAAAAGAGCTTCTAGTTCGGTTTCAATATCAGCTAAATCTGGAGGAGGAGAATCGGTGTCAGTATATCCTGGAGCTGAAGAATTAAAAACTTTAATGAAAAGTGGCGAAACACCAGAATATATTCTAACGGCGCTTGTAGCATCTATTGCTGAAGCTGAAGATTTAGAAGCTGCAACAAAACAAAATGCTGAAATAGCGAAATACAAAAACAGTTCTGTGATTAACCTGCCGACATTTTTAAAACAAAGTGAAAAGGTATTATTGAACTGTATCTACTATTTGATATTTTTGTTATTGTTTTATTTATTATTTATTCTAATCATATTGTTATTTATTTTTAGGTTCCAGTTGAAGTATTAGATCAATTGACATCCAACAAGAGACTCTATAATATAATCTTACAAAATTATCCATCTCTTCTTGCGCTAAGAAGTAATTCGGAACAAAAACTGCCTAATGAACCTGTTGCAGAAGTGTCGAAGGGAAAACCTATAACCATGTCGATGAAGCTTAAGTTAAATAAAAAGGAGAAAAAAGATTTTGAAACTAAATTAGATCAAGTTAGACAAAGTCTCTTACAACCGATTCCTGAAAATAAGCCTGCTGTTATTCAGCCCAAGAGTGAACGCCATAATTGGTTTACAAATCAACTTCACACTGATCGTCACTATTTGAGAGATATTCGAGTTCATCGTAATTCTATTATGCATCGAGGTGCTATGATGAATATTGCGAAATATAAATTGAGAGCATCATCTTGCCCCGATATTTATAGAAATTCGATGTGGTCTATGGAAGATCAAGAAGAAAAGGTGAGAGTAATGGTCAAATATCATGAAATTATTCTGTAATTAAATATATGATGTTGTCGAATATTAATTTATACTTATTTACATTTTGGAATATATTGGAGTATAAGTAGGTATATTAGCATTAAAAATCATGTTTTTTCTCATTTCACAGACTTGGGGAAAGCGATTAGCAAGCATGATTAACAAAACCTTTGATTTCAACATGTTCACCGAATTCCACTTCCTCATGATGAATATATCGACATTAGTTCTATTCATTTGGTTCATTGTCCCTTATTTCTATATCTCCAAATTTATGACCAGTAGTGGATACAGCGAGGCCCAAGGTGCTGCTATGTTGAGCGTCTTCGGCGTTGCTACTATCATAGGCATCGTGAGTATATTTATTAACTTTCCTATGATAATTTCTAATATCGCACGTAATTTATTATATTTTAATATCATGACTTTTTGTTCATTTTGTTCATTTACTTATTATTCTTATTAAATGTTATCGCTAGAGTTAAAAATTAAGTAAGTACCTACCGCATAAGTATTTCACTTTAGTTGTTAAATAAAAATAGAAAGTATACTTAAACTAATTTAGAACGAATTCTGTATATGTATGTGATAGGGTGATTAGGGTTTTGCCTCAGCTCGTGTGACGAATCCTCACCTCAGCGAGGGGAGGATTCGTCCACCAAGGGTTCCCTACAAATTTGTAGGTTACAAATAATATAGGAATTGAAGTAAATAGTTTTGAAATATGTTGTACGGTGTGTACGTCACCAATTACCGGAAGAATTGGTTTATTTCATACTATGATATGTGTAGATAATATATTATTACAATCCATTGAATAAGTATTGGATTGAATATGTTTTAAATTCATGTAGGTATTATAGCTCAGAGTTCTCTGTAGGTTACTGAGCAAGAACATTTATAGTTCATTAGTATTACATTTCAATGTCACTCGATATCAATGGAATGGAACTTCAATAACATTGATCAATGTCAACATCTACAATAAATGTGTATTTTTTTTTTAAATCTTACAATGATGTATTACAAAGTGGTTAGTAGGTATTGATTTCGTAACTATCCCTTACGAAATAAAGAAGCCATTTATATACACCAAAAACAGAGTGGACAAACAATTGAGCCCTGTGGAACACCCATTAATATCAACCCAGAGGATCTCTTGCCATTCATCTCATCTCCTTTTTTGCTCTCCATCACTGAAATTATCAGTTAACTATCTGGAGATAGGGCCTGACACTACCTATGATGCACAAGTAATCTCCATAAATATAATTTTAACAAAATTATAAGAACGATTCAAAATTTACCACATTTTCGTTAGAGGACAGGCCGTATCCTATTTAATGTGGACAAAGTGGATTTTTTAAGCATTTTTCATAAAGAATATTTTTCAGCTTATAAATTAATATATTTGATCAATTGCATTCTCAATGCCACCCTGTTGTTTCTCTTCAAATAACTCAACAGTAACAACGGCCCTAGATTAAATTATTATTTCCTCAAATAATTAGATATCAAAGTCATCATTAATTTATTATCATTAAATTTTTATTTTTAATTTCTACAATCCATAGTGCAAGTTTTTTATTGGTTAAAATAAGGTTCAATTACCTTTCCGTTTATTTAAAATTTGGATGTCTTTTTTCAGGTTGGACTTGGCTGGATGGGCGATCTTCCGTGGGTTAACGTCACTAAAACCTATGCGTTATGCTTGATCGTCTGCGGCTGCACAATCGCCTTCTTCCCTATTCTAATCCGCATTATGGACCCAAAGGAATCATACAGTTTCTACATATTAGTAATAAATGGGGTTTTATTCGGGCTGATGTTCTCCAGTTCTTATTCTTACACTCCCAGTATACTAGTGGAACTCATTGCATTGGAGCGCTTTACAATGGCTTATGGATTGGTGTTGTTAAGTCAAGGTGTTGGACATCTGGTTGGACCGCCTATGGGTGGTAAGTTTTTAAATTAATTACTCTTACGATGACAACTGAATTTTTGATATGATAATACGACTCCAAAGAAACACATTGCACATATGATGCACATATAATCTTCACGGTCATTAATTATTAGATATTTTCCAAACATTCGTTCAAGAACAAACATAATACGTGTCATGTTAATTTGTATAAGTTATACGAACATTATTTTAGAATATATGAACAATATGAGCAATATTGAAAAGAAAAGAAAATTAAGATAAACAGAGGAATCTTCATAACAGCAATAGTACATGTCAAATTCTCCTTGAATATATCCAGTAGATAACGCGAGTCGTAAAGTTAACTCGTAATAATGCTCGTAAAAAACCCATGAAGCCAGCTTAACAATGAAACACTTACTTACATTAACTGACATAGAACGACATTGAAAATTATCTAGTCGGTACCTACCTTAACAATTCTAATAGTATCTACTAGTCGTGACCTTTTTTAATTAATTGTAGATTCTATATTTCAAAGATCATGTTTTAAAACAATTGTAACACAATACGTATGTAAGTCTTCATGGATTTGATTGATATATGGTCAGATGCACAAACGTCCGTTAAGGTTTAATGACGCCTTTAAGCTCTAATGAATGTCAAATTTGTATGGGTAAAGGCAACATTGCCTTTAACTAATGACAACTTAAATGGTCGTTTGTGCAACTGACTGAAAGTCATTTAAACCTATATGAACTAATTATTTGGTTTATATCAAGGAATCTATTTTGGGTTTAAAAACTCCAGATGGTTGCAATTTTCATAGATGACGTATTTCTCTTGTTGCTTTAAAAACAAATACTACAAACAGAATAAAATAAATATGATTTCTTATATGGTTTTGTGCAAATAATTATGTGATGGACACATACTGACTAATCTTATAATTATCATGCCATATTATATAATACTACTACTTAGTAAAAGTTAAATTTGTTTCCGATAGACTAAATTTAATTTGAATATTCAGCCTATTAATGTCTGGTGCGGCACAGTCCAGGGGGCCAATTCTACTAAATAAATTTTGTTTAAATCGAATCGAAAACGGATCGAAACCGAACGAAATTACAGTTTTTAATGGTTATCCTGTGACATACGATACAATTCCAGTTCTATTTTAGCTGGAATTGTATCGTATATCACTTAGTAGAATAGAAAAACCATTAAAAACTGTAGTTTCGTTTGGTATCGATCCGTTTTAAACAAAATTTATTTAGTAGAATTGGCCCCCTGTCCTATATACGAAATCCAATTGAATCTAATAGGGACAACATTATTTAATTACAGCCCTGAGATTCCGTAAAAAATCAGACCCAAATTCGAATTCACTCATTCCACAGATTCCATTTTTTTTATAAAAATAGAAAACAAAATTGATTGAATATACGTGTCTCAGATATTCTATTTCTATGTCATTTCGAAACTCACTTCAGTTATGCCATGAAACGTTATTATCAATTCAAGGTTGAGCGGATGCCGCTTTTTGAAGTAAATTCGGACGTCTGAATGTATTCGAATTCGTGTTTGAATTTTTACAAAATCGAAGGGCAGTTCTTAAATTATACAACTATTCACTTTCAGGTGGACTGAGAGATTCCACAGGCTATTGGGATGCCGCTTTTTACATTTCCGGTATTTGGGTGGTGATATCGGGATTACTGGTCGGCGTTATACCATACACGAAGAACTTCCGAATCTGTGGCAATGCACCACTCGCTAAGGACGTCGCAGGAGAACCTGATCCTGGAGTTAAGATTATTATCGCTCACTAAGAGACTCTTTACATGAACCTCTTTTATTTACGTAATAGGACTTGTGTATGCTATAGATAGGCATATTTAAATTAACCATGGCAGTAAAGAAGAATTGCTTTAGTATAGGTATTTTAATTTTACTTAAAATCCTACATCATGTATTAGATGTAATTAAGCGAGTATTTGATATAAAATGAAATAGAAAAACTTAAAATATAATGATTTTTAAAGTTTTATTTTATTTTATAAATAGTAATAGGAAACTGTGTATACTGCCAATTAAATAGGTAAATTATTTAAAAGTATCAACCAATTGGTACCTTAAACAATAAATTACTTTAAATGTTGGTCAAAACAGTGAACTATCAATGTTTTTAGATTAGTTTTTATTATTGGAAGCAAGTCTAGGGTTGACCTAACCTTAGTTGTAACAGTATGGCCTATTGTTGAATTCGCGTCGCGTGTTTCGTTTATTTAAAGGTTTAAGGAGTGTCTCGTGGAACGTTAGTCATAATTTAAAAATATGCTTTTATGGTTTTATTCTATTTATTATTATTAGAAGTCGTAGGAATTTTTATTAAAACTAGGTGTGCTAGAGTTTTGGTATATTTACTTGAATGTATGAGGCAAACAGAATGGGATTGTGATGTTTCCAGATATATGAGGATAATTACCACATCTAGTAAGGTAGTACGTATTAAATCATCAGCAGTGGTCGGAATTAGGTAGAGTTATTCATGTACTTACACTGATTTCATACAGCGAAAGAATAAAGTGGATTTGCCTCAAATCCCAAGATTAATTTTAAAGAGCAGAAAAAATCCCGTGATTTTTTAAATAAAAAGTTATTTACTTTTACACAATTTAAACTACTGCACGCACGACGTTGCCAAACTTACATCAAAGAAAGAAAGAAGAAATAAAGAAATAAAGAAATCCCGGGAAGGTCCACATTAATATCAACATTTCGATGCAAGTACATAAATAACTCTACCTAATTCTGACCTCTGATCATTAGTAAAGACATGAAACTTTCTATTAACATTGATTATATTATAGTTAATTAGTTTTCTAATTTAAGTACCTACTTGCCAATAAAAACACCGATTGTAATGAATGAATTTATTTTTGTACGAAAAAAGTATTGTAGAAAATAAGTTAATTTTTACTGCTTACCTACTTACGTTATAGTTTCTAGTTTATGATTAAGCTTTATGTATCCTATTTAAAATACACTTAAAATAATAAATGTTTGAATGATTTCAATATTTCTTATTTTATAATCTTAAACTTCCTTATCCAAATGATTTTTTTTTTATATGAAATCATTTATAAGTTACCATTTACTATAACTTATTGGGTCTTATCATTTCATCCTTCCTTCCTTGAAAACTACACACACAAAAACCACAGAATAAAAAGATAGTCTTGTCTTGATAGTGCTTGATAGATAGATAGTCATCATTTAGGTACAAAAATCAACAAGACCGAGGAAATGTGACTTTACACCCAAATGCCAAAAATTACACTTTTACTCGTGAGGCAAAACGAGAAACATTTGTATAAATGCAAGTGCTCGAATAAATCATCTATTCATGAGGAAGTATTTAAAAAAAAAGAAAGCACTAAAAAAGCACCTCCACTAGATGGCGACTCTAGCAAATGTTGATTTTTGCAGGAAACGAATGGACCAAAGACAATCATTTCCGTTTCTTTTAACTAACATATTAAAAAATTAAAATTTGAAAAGTTCGATACTTAGATATCAATACAAATACGAAAAAGTACAAATAGAATATTAGTTGTTTATTGAGTTTTGAAAACTAATTTACTTTTAAACTTTAAAGAAAACCGGAAAGGTTGTCATGGAGAAATCAAAAATCTACCGTAGCGATATCTAGTTTGATTTCGGGAACTAATGTTTTTTTTTAATACTTCCTTATCCGAGTTCATCATTGGCTCACCGTGAGACACGAGCAGCGGCAGGCAGCCTGAGCCATTGCGAGGCTCCCGGCAGCGGATCTTTGCAAGGCCCTTTGTCCTTGGTGAAAGTTTGTGATGCGAAAGTAGGTCTGGTTGTTGGGCTTATGTATTTGTCATGTTTGATGAGAAATTCTAAAGTTATACAAATAAATAAAATTCAAGTTTTAAAATATTTTACATCGAAATATTTACATAATAAACAAAAATAGATATATTCTTAAAGAAAAATGCTTAATAAATCCGCTTTATCCCTAATACTTTTTTTGTTGACGTTACTCTGGTATAAACTTTTAAACTTTCGCGTTGCATTATATTAGATTAGATAGATTTCGATAGTTAGGTTTTTCACCTACCTATATTTCCTCAACGTGTGTCATCGAATTCCTCAACTATATTATGTATAATATTTTTTTAATTAGGTAAAAATCCTAATTGTTGAATTAACTCAAATAGTATTTATAAGTATCTAATATTGAGTTGATGAACGGAATGAAACACTGGGATTCCACGATCGATAGCATAACATTATATCCCGACTCCCCTGGACCCGAATGCTAAGCGATTAAAAAATCGATCTTCAAGTGTTTTGAGGCCCAAATGGCAAAAATGACACATTGACTCGTGAGACGAAACGGGAAAAAATTGTATAAATGCAGGTGCTTGTGACAAATTATGCAGCGAGTCGGCCAAGAAAGTGGTCTACCACCCTAAGGTTGAATTTCGCGTGTTACGTCAACTAACAACAAGGTTGATTTTCCGTAGCATTAATTTTTTGACACGTCAAGTACACGTCATTATTGCTATCTTCATCATTTTGACGTAACCTTTGACAGTAATTATCTATACCTATAATAAAAATGTAACAAGGTTACATTTGTAAGATATTTTGGAAAAAAAATATATGGACGGCCTTCATAAGATTAATAGAAGCCAAAAATATTTTTTTTTTCTGTCTGTCTGTTTGTATGTTTAAATACTTTAGAGTTAGAATATCATAAATAAAGTCTTATAGTCTACAAATATCCTACATTAGAATGTAGATTAATTATATTTTAATACAAATAAAAAAAATCAGTAGGTAGTGAAATGCTATGCGTGAGAAGCTATGCGTGTTATAGGTCTGAATATACTAAGATAACGGATAACAGAAATGAATAGCGACGAAAAACATATTGCGCCGACCCATAGCTTAGTGCGAGACAAGGGCTAAAACTAGAAGAGACAGTGAAAATGCTAATTCTTTGGTTGTTAAAAAATATATACAATTCTTTTATAAAATTATAATTCTTAAAATCTTGTGTAGCCGCCATCTGCCTCTATAACAGCTTCGACACGTTCCCTCATCGAGCCCACCAGTCTTGAGCAGATATCAGACCCACGTGTTTCCTCCCAAACCTCATTGCAGTGCCCTTGTAGTGCTTCTGCTGTTCGTTCATTACGGTTACACCATCTCTGAACCATAAGACCCCACATATTTTCAATAGGGTTGAGATCTGGCGATTTTGCAGGCCATGGTATCAAGTTTATTTCCGGATGTGCATCAAACCAAGCACGTGTTACCCTTGCTTTATGTAAGGGACAGTTATCCTGTAAATAATTAAATTGACGCATTTCATTTTCTGGATAAACGTTCCGGACGGATGGCAACATAGCATTTTGGAGAACATCAACATAATCTGATGCCGTTGCTCGTGGTGGCAAAAAGGTCAAGTCTCCAACACCATCCGCAGTCATCCATCCATACAAAACCGAGATACGACCCGATTCTCTATTTGGCACGACATGATTTTGCGTGTATCGCGTTTTATTGAATCGCCAAAGGTGTAGACGCCCGTGTTGACTGGATTTAAAAGTTTTCTCGTCACAGAAAACAGTGTTACTCCAATCAAAATCCAAATATTCTATGGCGAAATTTAATCTGGCCATTCTATGAGCGTCAGTCATATAAATTTTCTTTGCATAACGCCTGTGATGTAAGCCCATGTAATGTAAATGGTTTCTAATGGTTTGGAGAGTCACGTCAAATATGTCGGCAAAATAACGCGTTGATATATAGCCAGATTCCTCATAACTCCGTCTCATGAAGACTCGCTGAGTATCTGATATTTCAGGTCTACGACCGCTACGACTCCGAGCGTTCAAATTCCCCTCCTCGCTTTCTCGTCTTATCCAAAGACGGACAGCTTGTCTCTATAATCAAAAATAAAATATGAACAGAAAAATTAAAAAAAAATTACACTCGGACTTGGTCTGAGATTTTACATTAAACTCACGTCAGACATAAGTAATAATACTTACCGACACATTTAATTCTTTAGAAATCTAACTAATATTCAAACCATCATTGTGTAATGCGATTATTTGTGCTCTTTCGTTAATGGATAAATTTCGGGGCATTGTAGTGTAAATTAATTAGGAAAATACCTAAGGAAAATGCCGAGAAAATATTTGACATGAATTGTCAAGTGATATATTCTTTTTCAGTAAAAGAGTTTTCGTAACAAAATAGTTTCCACTTTGAAGTGACCTACTTAAATTTTAAATTTATGAGATACTAGCTTTCGCCAGCGGCTTCGCCCGCGTGGTTCCTAAGGAAATGTTTAGTGAGATAAAAAATAATTTAAATAATTCTGTAGGTATATCCAGAGTAAAGTAAATCTGACCTAACTAACTTCTATTTCTTTTTCATTAACAATTTCATGTTTGCTAGTCAATCACGCTGCAGCCACTGAACAGATTTTGATAATAATAATCAAGATTATGATTATCTTATAAAATTGATCTATATACGATGTTGTATGATCTATTATTTGCAGCAAGTACATACAGGTTCCTTGCACTTGACACTCGAGAACATGCCACATAGAGCTGGCCATGGATAAAGCAGGGAATGCCCAAATGTATGCCGGCCACTTTTAGGGTTTGTCCCTGGGACTTATTGATGGTCATAGCAAATGCCAATTTCAATGGGAACTGCAGCCTTTTGAACTGGAATGGCAAATTGTGGGGTATAATGGGTATGCGGGGAATCAACACGCTCTCGCCTTTAGCTGCTCCCGTATGTATTGTTGCTCGCAGAATGTTTCTTCCCAATTCGCTGATTTGTAATCTTGTGCCGTTGCACAATCGCGGAGCGTCAAGATTACGCATCAACTGGGACGCCAACCTTCAGCTCCAGCTTGTGGGGCGAGGCGCAGGTCAATTCTAATGAGTTGAGAAATTCCACGGGATACGCAGTGCTGTCATCGCTTGCCATCACCGTGTCTATGGACGTGTACACCCTCGATGCGCCATCTACTACATCTAATACCTTGTTGTTTATTTTATTCACTAATTCATTTTTTAGCGACAGTACTGCTTTCTCACACAACCACTCCTCATTATTTAATTTGTTTTTTAAATCGGGAAATACATCGGCGAGTAGTTCTTCCTTGGTAGCACAAAATTCATTGGTGAAAATGATTTTGCCGCCCGGATCGGTTTTCAGCCTACCATCTCCGATCTCGAGCAGCTTACTCGCAAACGCACCTGACTCTGTATCATTGTAAGGTTGTGCACGCATATTCCGAGTAAGGTGGAGTTTTTCTACGTTGGACCAAAATGACGAAGCCTTGAGACACGCGTTCATTTCATCTGCCGGTGTACCAGCGGTCCATCAGCGTCTCATTGCTGCGGATGTCCTGCAGGCTCCGGTTCAAAGCCTCAACCACGTGCTTGTGCGACATTGTGCACTCGTCCTACACGATTAATTTACATTGTTGCAAAAGGGCACCGCGGTCGCTGCTTTTGCTAATGTTGCACGTTGGGTTTTCTTGACTTGCATGATTCAGAGGTAGACCCAAGAAATAAACAAAGAGTTAATTGAGAAGTAGATTTAGAAAGCTAGATACAGATCTTAATATAAATATGTAAAGTTAGAGAATTGCTAAATAGATAGAAAATATAGAAGTTATTTGAGAAAAAATCATACAAAATGTCAAGTCAAGTCCGTTAGAATAGCAAAATCGACAAATAGAACCAATTGACAACGCAGAAATCACTTACAACGAAGAGATTATTGAATCGCACCGCAGAGTCACAGTCATCTATATCCAAGTAGTTGCGGTAATTTAACATCGCAATGTAGAATACAGGCAATGCCATCTGTTGGGCTTAATATTACCGATTACATTAAAAATGCTGTTTTATCTTAATACATACGTGTACATAAAATAGTGTTTAGAAAATCGGCAATATACGTTGTTTTATTTTCTCAAAAACATCGTACTAAAATCTAAACTACTTATCCAATCTACATGGTGTAAAAGACAATTTTCATGTATATTAAATTTCTTCGACGATAAACATATTTATTTCGATAAGGATTTAATGTCACCTACTCAAATAAACGTTTAAAGATGGACGAAAAATTTAAATAGACTTATATAAAGTTATTTTTATTTTTGTGGCAAAATCCTTGCATATAGATATATGACATCGCGGACTTTTTTATAGATAATTTAATGCTCTCCAACTTTTCCTTAGAAAGCATTAGTATATCTCATACCGTTTAGGCAGCGTTCACAAAAATAGGCGCCGTTGGAGGTACTTTTATCCCTAGGGAACCTTTTGGTGGGATAAAAAGTATCCTATTATCTAAGTCAGGTAAAACTCTATCTGTATACCCAATTTCATCAAAATCCGTTCATTAGTTTCGGCGTGATTGACGTACAAACATCCAAACATCCAAACATCTAAACATCCAAACAAAGAAACTTTCACATTTATAATATTAATAGGATAATAGGATTGTGAAGACTATTTGTTGTTGCAAATTATTATCTAATGCATAGGCTGCAAAGGTCAAAATAACATTTGTGCTCTATGACAACACGTCAGCATTGTGCATCTCTTTTATTGTTTGTATGCAATTCTAAGATTCGCCTTTAGCGATGCTTTAAAGACACGGGAAATGTTGTCAAAACTGGTAGACCACTTTCTTGGCCGACCGTACGTCACCGACCAACATCATATAAACTTCACTATCACTTGAATTACACTCTCTCATGTTTAATTTTTAATATTAAGTATATTTTTAAACAAGATGAATACTTTCGGATAAATATTTAGCAGAATATCTGCTTATAATGTTGCTAGTATTCTTAATCTGTGAAGTTGACGACGCTATGAGGACTCAGTGCACCAGACACTCCTAAGGTGACTAAAAATGGCGCTAACCGGAAGTAAGTCAATCCAATTATTAATTTAAATGAGGTTGCCACGACAACCTTGGTGGGGTAAGTGTAAAGAACGGAAGTAGCTAGACCGGAAGTCGACGCACTCTCACAGTGCTGTGCATCGTCACATGCCGATAATTGACAACTATTAATAATAATTATTTCAAAAAAGGAAATGCTAAATTTATTCAATTTTTCTGACAGATGATGCACAGCTGATGACATGACGAGCTTAGGGATTCAACGATACCACGTAGGAATCAATACTTTTGCTCGAGACCTACTCGTATCGAATAGTTTTAAAATGTCTCACCATCGTCGTCATTTTTATAGTTTTTTCAAAGTAAATTTAATACTATTGATTGCCAAAAAAGAGAAGTAGGTCTAGAAATAAAAAGCGATGCATATAGAAAGCACTTGTATGTATGTAGTTAAGTATTGCTTCAAAATTTTGTTGGCAGTGCCCCCTCTAGATATATCTCTAAATGCATAAAATTAGTAGGGGTTAGTAATGATTAATCATACAGGGACAGTCACGCTGCGCTTGTGGGATTTTTTCATAAGATAGACTTTAGACACCTTAACACAGAGTAAACTGACTAATGCTCGCGAGTTTTAAAAGTTACACAAGACTCTAAAAGTTACACAATTCCATAAAACACTATCACAACCGCTATACTTTTGAAAATGATTGAAAGTTGCTTTATCAAAGACTAGGCTATATGGGCTACATTGATTTGACCAAAGAGTAATGTAATATAAAAAGGTAAAGAGTAGCAACTCTACGGAAAATTTTGCATGTATGGAAAGTGCTGCCAGCTGGAGTTTGGTCAGTGAACTTGTTTTGCCAACTATACTATACATAGCTTTTACGTATAGATATATTTTTGTATACTTGCATATATATAGGTATTATCTATAGCTATTCTTAACTTCGTATTAATAGTCGAGAAGTAATTATGTGAGAATATGTCTATTGGCAAAAGACATTTGCTTGTTAAGACATTTTCTCAAATAATTACTTCTCTCGACTATAGATAAGAGTGTTTAAGATGTTTTTATGATAGGTTATTGGAAATAAGTAAAAAAATAATTTGTATAATTATACCTTTAATAAATGTTACATTATTTCTTAGTGGCATAACTTTTATGTTTATTATAATACTCTGTAGCCGTTTTTTTTATTTTATCGTCTCCTTGGTAGGACATTTTTCAGCTATAAATAATTATGTTTATAGATAAATCAGTGAAATATTTGGTGATGCTATCTTTATGTTTATCACAATTTAAAAAAGCAAAATCAGAAAACATTTCTAAAAATGATTTGATTTGATGTTTTAAAAATCTTTCATGGCAATTACTATTGAGAAATACAAATGTAACATTTTGGATTTCTTGAAAAGAAGCTAATAAATCATTTGACGGATAACAAAGCCACATCTTATTGGTTTTGTATTCTTTGGCTTTAATGTATCGGTTTGTTTCCTTATCTGCGAGACCTAGTAACTTACTTTTACAATTTTTACAACCTCAATTTTTTGTAGACATTTGGCTAAAGCCCACCCACAAACATATGCTCTTTGATCAGCCCCTGCATCTGAAATGCTTTTATTATTTTGTATAACATTCAAAGCTTGATCTTAAACGATAGTATGAGACTGTGAGGGATCATCACTTATATTCTTATTCTTTAGGAAGAATTTCAGAGATTCGAGACATTTATTTGTATCTTCTTTGCAATTAAAAAAACAAGATTATCCGTGTAAATATTATAGTGAATGTGTGGCGATATTGACCTTTCATCAAATACTAATGTACACAGACGATCTTGCTATAACATTTTTTCATTTATACCTGGTGACAATTTAATTTGAGCAAGTAAAGATTTTTGAGATGGAAAATTGAAATGCTTACACATCAGTTTATAAGCCTTAGGACTTTTTTTATACAATGAAAGGGATAATTTTTTTTCTTCCTACATAAATCTACGACCATTCTTTTTCTTTTGTCCCTCTTCAAATTGCATCCTGGTAAACATCTTTGCAGATTCTGACATGTCCATTGTTAGTTTTTTGAAATCCTTCTTAACACTGTTTTTTTATGTACCATCAAAGACATTCTTATTTTCCTAATTTTTCACCGTAATCTATAGATTTCATTTTTCTTCTGTCTTTTTTTCTTCACACACTTTTTCTCCTTTTCCTTTTCTAAAAATTCTAGTGTTTTACCTGAAAAGCATAGTTCTATTTAGTTTTCTTTTAATTTTTGCAAACATTTATATTTATGAGAACACAGTAACAGTAAAGGCTTTATAATTATCAGTCACATCTTATAGCAAGCTAGTAATAATATATAACACTACAATTTTAGAGTAGATAAATGAGAGAAATATTTGATAAATGAGAGATTTTTGGTCATTTTATGATTGCAATAACTAGATAGTATAGATAGTATACAGATGTCTATGAACTGATTCAATATCAGTTTAATATAACTAAAAACTTCTATATATGTTGTACCTTCATAACATATCATTTAGTTATCCCTTACCCTTTACAAAACCTAAACAATTATGGTGTCACAATTTTAATTCTGAACAGCTTGGCTAATAGTATACATAGAAATATAGGCTTTGAATTTAACATATAAATTTATCCTTACATTGTTTAATTAATAAACAAAATTGATGTTAACTGAAAATACCTATATATTTATGGAGTTTCAATAAATATAGAATAGGTATGTTGTAAATAAATAGAAAAAATATGTTACCTGAATCAAATTTGGATTGTGAAACTTGAGGATGACATATTCCACTTGATGTAGATGGACCAAGATAGATGGACCAGGTTTATTGACATCATTTTGTATGTTAGTTACATCGGACAAAAGTGTAGAATGTGAAGATTCCCTTCTAGAATGATAGTAGTTATGTTCAATATCCACTAAAACATTTATAGATTGTTTCACACCTAAAACAACATTCATTACATTAAAAAAGTTCATCTTTCTTCATTATGAATGTAGTTTGTTTAGTGCTACCATTTCATTATCAAGCCACATTCAAAAAATACATTGACAAATTTAATAGCTTGACAGGAATTCATTGATAGTAAATAGATATATAGAGTAACTCGGTGGCATAGTGGATAAGCGCCGCGTCCCGCGATCGTAGTCGTTAAGCAACTTTCGCAAGGGTCGGTCACGGGATGGGTGACAAAAAATTATTATCTCCAGCTACTCCGTGTCATTAAGCTGTTGGTCCCGGCTGTATTTGCAGTCGTTAATACCCTCCAATCCGCATTGGGCCATGACCCCCATAAGGAAGGCCCGAGCCCCTGCAGTGAGAACGTAAAAGGGCTGGTGATTATGATGATGAAATAGATATATAAACATACGATCGAAAATTGTCGGTACAGCTGATTTCTTCGGCTTCGGCTTTAAACTTCGTCTCAAAATGATGATCACATATTCTCTTGTTCTTATAAATTTTTTGAGTATTGTTTTCACCAATATTCTCACTAACTGTATACACCCAAGCAGTAAATAATGCGGGGCGCTTATCGGGATTTGGAAATCGATGGAGAGGTACATTTTGGATAGCTGAAATAGTAATGATAGTTATGTTAATAACGAAAACTTAATGTAAACATTATTCACATCATTTAAATCCTGTTTAAGGCATCTCGATGTAAAGCGACATGAAATGCAGCTTAAATATAGTTTTTTATTGCTCGAGTGAAATCATAAATCATTTAGATTCACTTACCTAAGCTATCATAACCAAATATGTAATATTTCTTCTGAACTCCACTCATGATTACGAAAGTAACCAAAACAAAGTTTATCAAATAACAAACAAGAAAACACTGTTTTAACAAAGAAAATAACAAGAAACTTAACAAAAATACTAACAATATAAGATTAAAAACACCGCGAAATTCAACAAGCGCATCAACATCTATAATAGAAAAAAGCCAGACAGACACAGAGTACATTATTATATGCAGACAGAGTTGACAATGACAAAATAGACCGGCCATATTGTCTGTCAAATAAATTTGACAACCAAAGCTTCACTAACCAATCTGTAGATGTCGCTGTCGGCTACGAAAATTGCTTTCTCTGTCTACGGAAAATTGGCATACTGTGAAGAGTGCCCCCCCTGTGCTGGATTTGACTTAAATCAATCATCTAATGTCAAAATTTGACATTGACATTTGACTTAAAATATGCCCTGCCCCTCTTGAGTCTGCTTAATTGTTGTCGTTTTAATAATTTTATTTTTCAGTGTAGTGTAGTGTAGTCAGACAAATATTTTTTACATAAAAATATTGAAATAGATTCAACGTGTTATCATCATTAACATAAAATGCAAAGGTAAATTACATTTACTTTGATAATATTTTGTCTATACAGATGTGTTTCAATTCGATTCATGAACTGCCTTCATTTTCTCTATTCCTATGTTATCAATAATGTAATACAATAGCTTCCTTTTGCTGCTTAGGATTGTTCATTTGGATCTTAAAGGGGCGCCACCGAAAGTTGAATATCTAGAAAGGGTAAGTGAATTCATATTCCACAATGTAAATTTATCATCATTGAAGAAATTTTTAGAAATAATCATATCTGACATTACAATTTCTACCAAATAAGAGAAAAGGTAAATAGGTAGATACAATGGATTTGGAAAAACAAACAGTTACAGACACATTTTATTATAAGTAGTATATAACAACTTTATTTTAATTTCAGATACTTCTATGCATAAAGTCATGGGGTGCAACTGGGGTGTTGCTAGAATGGGAAGACACTTTCCCATATACATGGGGTTTAGTAGAAATCGGCAGTCAGGGTGGCAGTGGTGGGGATGGTGTTTATCTTCAGGATGAAGTTAAACATATCTTTAAATTTGCCAAAGAAAATGGCTTAAAAGCTGTAAGTTAAAATAAAATTAATGCTAAATTGTAAAGAAACAGCAGGTTTCTGAACTCAACATTCTACATAATATACTTTCATAAGTCAAAAATTCATAATTTTATCAAATTGTTATCAACTGATTATTAAAAAAATTAAAATCAGAAATTTTAACCTGTCTATGTGACATTTAAGTACAGTTTGAGACATGCTTAACTTCAAATTCTCAATTCAGACACGAGTTGTAAGTGTACAAGAGTTGTAAAATTTGAATTTTAGCTAAAATCTGAGTTATTTCTGTTAACAGTTATTGGAATAGTTAAGAACAGTATTTCCCAACCTGTGATTCCTGGCCCCTGGGGTTTGTAAGTTTTTCTTCCCCATAAAATTCATACATAACAACTTATAGTGGCTAAGTGATGGAAGGACAAACAAATATGCTTTCTTATTTATAAAATTTACTATGGATATCTTATAGATTCAACTTATACAAACTATGGGTCACATGGAATTTGTACTTAAACACCCTAAGTACCAGAAGTTGAGGGAAGCAAAACAGTCTCCAGCTGTACTCTGTCCTTCAAATCCAGAGTCCAAGCAACTTGTGAGAGCAATGCTGGATCAAGTAATAGATTCACAGCCAGATATTGAGGCCTTGCATATTGGAGCTGACGAGGTAAAACATTCATGTATTAGGTCTTACCATAAGTTCTAACATCTTATTATTTTCATTTTCTTTATTATGAAAATAAATAATTTTATGTGATAGGTAAATAACACATTAATATTCTCAAGCCTGTTGCTGCAAATGTTGTGTATTTTGTATTATTTTCTATAGAAATTGCAACAAAATTCAAATTTTGATAACATTTTTATAAAATGAGCAAATTCTTGAATGTTACTCTTCAGCAATGGCTTTTGATGTCACAATAGGTAATTTTTCTTTAAAACAATAAACCTTTATGATGATTTGACTAATGATTTAGCTTTGATACAACAAAAAAGTAAAGATTTATGTTTATACTCTGGCAGACTCATTTGTATACATCCATATCGTCAAGAAACATACTTAATAAGGTGCAGTAATTTCCCACTAATAAGGTATATGATGAATCTTTATCTGAACAGAGCAGACATTAATACCACCTATGACTAAACATATAACTAATAATGACTATTTCTATAATCACAAAGTGGAAAAGCTCGTTGACGTATGGATAAGCGCCGCAGCCCGCGATCGTTGTTGTTAAGCAACTTTCGTATGGTTCGGTCATGGGATGGGTGACTAAAAATGGTTATGGTTTTAGGTATGGCACTTAGGGGTGTGCGCTGAATGTCAAACAAAAGCGTCAATACACGAGGATAAAACTGCAGCTATTTACTTGGATCATATTCAGGATATTGTGATGTATTTGCGACAGAAGAAACCTGACCTAACTATTCTCATGTGGGATGATATGCTTAGGAATATTGGTGTGGATGTGTTGATGAGTGAGTATTAAATCTACACTATGTGATGCTTCGTTTCTATATCTGTATAGGTTTGGAAAGAGATTGGTATTGATGTTGATGTTAACATCCGGATCTGGTTAAATCCACACACAGTTTTGAACTTAACATGTTAAGGTTGGATTTTTTTTATGTTTTAAAAGTATATTTATGTTATTATTTACAATGAGTCCTGCTCACTTAACTCCATGATTCGATTCTACCAGCCCCATTCCATTACTGATCATGAGAAGCAAGTTGGTGTACCACCCGTATATTGCCGACATCCCACCTACTCGTACTAAGTAATTTGCCACTTTTTTCGAACAGCTAAGGAATGGAATGCATCGTCTAGTCCCGTATTTCTTAATCAGTATAACCCGGTACTCTTCAAAGCCAGAGTGAAGAGGCACTTCCTGGGTAGGCATATACCATCTTAGGCCACATCTTACTTGCCATCAGGCCAGATAGTGACCAAATGTTAATCCAGTCCTTGAATAAAAAGAAAAGTTCTTTTAGTCCGGTTTTACAGTCATAAATCACCACAAAACATGTTTACACAATTTTTATTATTTTATTTTATTTATTTATTTAGAAAAACAAACAGTTTTTTACAATTAATATACAATCAAACCTTATTTAACTAATAGATCTGACAGTTTCATTACTAAATACTAATAAAACTTTATTTTGTTGGCAATTATTAACAATGGTGTTGACATCAAATAAAGTTAACCTACACATTAAACAAAACATATTTAAAATATCATCAAACTTATTATTGGAAAATGTCAATATTTCTAAATTAAAAGCATCTATTCTCAAACTAGCTTGCAAAGGAATTAAATTATTTAGGTAAATAATTTTTATGACTAAATTGGTAAAGTAATCAGATCTTCTTCAATATATTTATTTCAGAATATGAACTGTGCAACGTAGTTCAGCCGGTGGTTTGGGACTACAATGTGAAGGAATTCTTCCAAATAAAAGACCAGCTGTGGGAAAAATATCGGCAGCTGTTTCCCAAAGTTTGGGCAGGTTCAGCTTATAAAGGAGCCAATGGAAGTTGTCAGGTGATTACTTAATAAGTAAGAAGTTGAAATTGTGTTTAAAATAAACCACAACTTGATATCGGCGCTGGAAAGCAAACACATAGTAACCTGCAAAACCAAAATGGACATTTGGAGTGGATAATCTTTATATATTTAAAAAAAAATCTTATTTCTATATAAATTGATTAAAGAAGCCCTTATTTGTTACCATGGACGTTTATAGGAATTATTTATCGAAAAAAAAAGCTTTTCTGCTCTGAAGAACACTTGGTTTTGCGGGTTACTACGTGTTTGCTTTCAAGCGTCGATATATCAAAAATAATGAAATAGGAACACATAATTGTCTCAATATGTCATACTGTCATCACAACACTATCCTATTAATTTCCCCCACTGATAGATAGATAAGTAGTTTATTCATACAACTGCTGCTGGGGTACAGACCTATGGGGAGGAATCGTGAAGGGAAATTGTTGAGGGAGAATGATCCACACCCACCACGCGTGCTCAGGGCGGTGTTAACGACTGCAGATGCAGCGGAGACCAACGGCTTACGTGCCCTCCGAAGCACGGATAAGCTCGAGATAAAATTTGGTCACCCATCCTATTACCGGCCATTGCGAAAGTTGCTTAACATTGATAGGTAATAATAATATAATTTAACGTAAACTTCATTACAATTAGAATGAATATGTATTGATTCAGATATTGTCACCGGTGAATCGCTACGTAAGCAACCATGAGGCTTGGATGCAAGTATTCCATAAGCAATCGTCCAAACTAGACTTCACTGGTATCATACTCACTGGTTGGTCCAGGTTAGTTATTAAAATAATCAGGTTAGTTATTAATTTAAAACAATGGTATGATCGTACGAATTAACATGACATATTTTCTATTTGACCTCGAACTAAAATTCGGGTAATTTCGAATCGTTCATACAATATTGCTAAAATCATATCTGCGAAGATAAGCTGTGCATCAAAAACAGTTAGGTTCTACCTCTTCTTCATCATAGATTATAGAAAACTGCTTTCCTTAGACCCTTTCAAAATAGACGAAATTTCGTTTCCCGAGAAATAGAATAGGGCTTCAGGTATCACGTTAATTCGTATGAGTAGCAGCAGTAATATTTTACTCATCATTTTTCATAAAATTGTAAATACATTGAATTGATCAAATGTAATAAGAGAGGAGTTCAGCAGAATACGGGTGTAGACAGTCAACGAAAATAGATACATTATTTTTTTCTGATAGTCTTTAATATATTATTTTACTGATTATCACATTTTTATGCTTATTATGTTTATAATATTGCTTAAATTAATTATGAAAAAAAAAACAAATATTTTATGCTCTTTGTCACGTGGCCGCAAACAGCGCGTAACGTCATGCCCTTCTTACTCATATCAGAATTTAGAGAATTCACCCTTATGCATACATAGAACGATATTAGTTTCAGAGGGCCGTGACGTCATAGCGACGCCATGACAGCAGTGCCGTTTTCGTGGGAAATTTTGAAAATTAAATTTATTTTTTTTAGATTTTAATTTATTATTATGGATGATATTTCTTTTTCAATTTTTTTTATATATTTCCTGTATATCTATAAAATAAAAATGTTTATATCCCTATTGGTACATACCAATATTCACAAGACAATACTTTATTTAGTGCTTTTCACTATATTTTATATTTATTTTTTTGTTAACAAGGTATGATCACTATGCCACGTTGTGTGAGCTTCTGCCGGTGGCTTTGCCGAGTTTGGCGAGTTGTTTACGATTGCTGACCAAAGCAGAATCTACACCAAATGGTAATTAAATCAACATACTAGCTAGCTGTATTCCAGCGACTTCGCTCGCGTAAATTGTAGTCCGTAGTTATGTGTAAATTATATCACCAGTGTATGATGAAGTTTACCGTAGGTGAAAGTATAGGCTAGATGTCATTTTTATTTTATAAATAAATCTGAGAAATAATGCAGAAGTAACAGCATGTTTGCGATTAATAGTTTCGGAGATACGGTGCTATATTTGTGGAACTGCTGCTAGCCGAAAGTGCTTAAATTCAAGCCACAAATACCCGGTTTCTGAGGGCTTAAGTTCTCAATAGTTATCGCTCCATTAAAGAAATGGAGAAGATAAACTTCGTTTAACTGTCACTGCGTTTCTAAACACTCAACAAACTACTCAATAACTATGTAACCAATAAGTAGTTCCTCAATTTACCACTAGATGGAACTCTTCAAGGAAGCGACCTAAATTTGACTTCTTTTACTTAGCACATGTTTTATTTGCGATAATTTTTTTTTTTTTAAGTTAAATGAGTTCTCAAATACTATTTTAGTGTAAAAATATGAAAATTGTCAGTGTCTGTATGTAATGTCGAAGGACGAAAATGAACATCCTTAAAAAAAAGAAGATACATGAAAATGTACATCCTTACAAAAAAGAAGCAGGGATCAGGTCGAGATGATAATTTTTGTCACCCATCCCATGACCAACCTTTGCGAAAGTTGCTTAACAACTACGCCACCGAGCTACTCTCTCCTTGCTAGGTTTGGGAGAATACTGAGTAGCTTGCCATAAAACTTGTTTACGGGGAATAATTTTCATAAGTCTTCCTTTTACAATACCTCCTTCTCCTGGGCCTGTTTGTTTATGTTCTTAAACTAAAGTAATAGACAAAGGATGAACTAAAAATAAGAAATAGAGTCAAATTGCTTTTTAGTTTTCCGGACTTAGTATAGATATACTAGAAATAAAGTCCGTTAGGTACTTCTGTATCCGACTCTGTCGAACTGCTCGTATTAATTATACCACTATTCATTGTTTTTCCGAGTTTAATTTAGCTATAACGCAACGTTAAAATTCACCACGTAATAATAACAACCTAAAAATCGCATGATGTGACCACGTCCAAAACGTCAAATAAAGTTATGGAACCGATAAACGGCACAAAATGGTCAGTTAAGTTAACCTTAGTTTAAACGGAGTTTAACTGACGCGGCGATGTTCAGAAACGCAGTTCTAAGAGTTATTGAGTCAATAGCGCTATCGAATCGATAAACTGCCGTTAAAAGTACCTCAGAAACCGGGCATAAGTGACGTCACACGGTGCTACGGTAGCGAAAACATGTGGACGTTTAGACATCTTTGTAATATCTTTGTTATTTGTGTGTTTATATTTATAGCTGCTATAGTTAAAGTTGTTACATTTAATGTAACTAATTTAATGCCATAGTATTTTTGCAATTTTTTGTAATATATTCTCCTTACTTTTTTCAAATTTCAAAGCGTATTATTTTTGAAATGTGTGCCGTAAAATTTATTTTGTTAAATATTTATAAGTTAAAATGGTTCATATTTTCCGCAGTTCCGAAACCAGTATTTTTAATTATGGGACAAACTCAATTTTCATAATTGGAAGAGAATTTCCGAAGGTAACGCTCTAGAAACAAACGAACAATGTTAGAAACTTCTTCCTCCTCCTCCTCCTCATCATAATATTAGTATGGTTAAATAATATATTTATGTATTTTGTGTTTTTATGTAGAATGTGTGGTTAATGAAAGTTTGCCGCGACAACAGTGGCCCGGAGTGGAGGCGGCTCGATTGGTTCATTCCTTTTTACTGCTCAGGGAACAAGCACACTCCTTTATACACGGTGATCTGTGAGTATTTTCCTTTCTGGATTTAGGAATTAATTATAGAAATCCTAGGTATCACATTGCTATTATGGTAGCCAAATAAAAATAGGATCGGGTTTGCTATTCCAATTTCACGGCTTAGTTGTCATTTTGGTACTGACAGCAAAGAAATTTAAGTTCGTAAAATATATATTTTTTTGTATTTGTTAGACTTTATACATATGTTATATTATTGGGTTTATTATTTGACACGACTATCAGTAATTTATTAAGCATATTTTTTTTAATTGGTCTCTCGCTCTTTTTTATCACTAAATATGAATTTGACAATTTTACTCGCAGCGTTAGTGGTGGACATTCTATTCTATTATACTATTACGAAAATGCGTTGATTTATAAAAAAAATCTTCCCTCTTTTGCACACCTTACTCTCTGAATTTGAAGCGCAATGCGAACCAACATGGCTATTCTTATTTGGTTCACATAACACAAAATAAGCGTCCAATAATCATTGGCATATATAAACGAAAATCAACTTAAATGTAATGAAAAAAAGCGAAATTGTAGGCGGAGCTTCGCATGCCATCTCTTTGATATCCAAGTTTATAAGGATGAGTGGTTGCTTTTCATTGCGAAAATGTACAGATTAGTCAGACAGCGATTGATGGGTTGAGTAATCGTAATCTGCAACCATAAATTAATCGGTATTTTATCAGAACCGAAATAATTGTGATACTAAATAACCGAAACTTTAAGCTGAATTATAAACGTTAAACAAAATGCATGGAATTTCTCATAAGTCGGTAAATGATATTAAAGGTTTCCGAGCCCTGATCATGAGTACTTGTGAAACTATTATTTTTCTACAAAATTATGTTAAATAATTTACATATGGATTAGATTACAACGTTATTGGTTTCAGTGTTACAACATGGCTGAACGCATGGCAGATCGAGAATAATTACACCAATCCAATACAAGCGGAAAACATTGTGGTTGTAGCTAAACAGTAAGTATGTTATAATAATTGTACGATATATAATAAATATATCGTGTTATCGATATGTGACCATTCGACAGCGTAGAAGTATGCGAGCTCTTACTACTCTGTTTTCCTTACTGAACTCTTCGAATGCTCCGTCTTATCTCACGTCGCAATTTCGGTACATATGTACCACTCATACCAAAAACCTTCGCTCCTCCTCAAATCCGCAGCTCATGTGTCCATCGCATCACTCCGATACTATCCATTCTTCGTTTTTTGTTAAATCGATTCTGTTGTGGAATGAACTTCCGTTGGACATCAGAATGTCCACCAGTAAAGTTATATTTAAAAACAAGCTGCGTAGCTTTCTATTGGAACAGGCTAATTCGTTACACCGTTAGTCGTCTACATTATATTATATATATATATATATATATTATATTAGTATATGTAGTTATGAAAGTATATATGTATTGTTTATGTATTTTGTTATAGGTCTTATTTCCTCTGTTTATATCTCCTGTACAATGTGCACACTACCACCTTTTATTTTCTTCCACATCACCCATCTTGTTGACTGGTAGAAAATGCCTAAGGCATTAAGTCCGCCAATGTATTATGTACATGAAGTATTAAATAAATAAATAATAAATATGTGTATATACATACCAGCTGACCCGTTTTTGCCGTATAAATTCGGAAAGGACCGCTCTTATCACTCTGGAGTACAAAAATAGACAAAAACCTATTCTCAGACCTGCTTATTATCGTTACTTAATTTATTTAAGATATATGAATCACTTTTACATTTTATTTATAGTAGTGGTTAGTAGTTTCGAAGCTTTAATCCAAAAAAACCTTTCCTTTTTATAATATTACTTTATTAGCTAGGGTGGTCCCTACCGATCTGTTTATTTGGACACCGATTCATATTATGACCAGTGGTCGGAATTAGGTAGAGTTATTCATGTACTTACACTGATTTCATACAGCGAAAGAAAAAAGTGGATATGCCTCAAATCCCGAGATTAATTTTAAAGAGCAGAAAAAATCCTGTGATTTTTTAAATAAAAAGTTATTTACTTTTACACAATTTAAACTACTGTACGCACGACGTTGCCAAACTTACATCAATGAAAGAAAGAAATAAAGAAAGAAGAAATAAAGAAATCCCGGGAAGGTCCACATTAATATCAACATTTCGATGCAAGTACATAAATAACTCTACCTAATTCCGACCTCTGATTATGACACAGATATAATTATGACTAATTGAATAGTAAACTATGGCAACGTTTTAATTCCCTATAAAAACTTTCACTCCCATTTTAATCCCTTTATTTACTGTTTTTCGATATAAAATATAGCCTATGTTCACCGCATATGATGTAGGTTCCTGTAGGTTAAAGATTTTTTTTAAATCGATCCAGTAGTTTCAGAGCTTATTCGATGTAAACAAACAACCAAATCTTTACTCTTTATATAAAACTTGTGGCCGCCAGCCTCCTAATAGTTCCAGCATGATGTTATATAGCCTAAAGCCTTCCTCGATAAATGGTCCATTCAACAGAAAAAGAATTTTTCAATTCGAACCAGTAGTTCCTGAGATTAGCGCGTTCAAACAAACAAACTCTTCAGCTTTATAATATTAGTATAGATTATAGATACAAAATATTATAAAGAGGGAAGTAGAGACATGTTAAAAAAAAAACAATTATACCTTCTTTCAGGTTGCTATCAGAATTCACGAGTCTTCAAGCTGAGCTGATTCCAAACCTCAACGCTGTAACCGGCAGACGCAGTACCGAGGAATGGGTCAAAACATACGTTATTCCACTTATAAACAAAATAAGTGAACTCCACAAAACGGCAGAAGCCAGGAGCAAAGCCGATGCGGGCGTAAGTCCTCTGAACACATTGTCACTGAAGAATAAGTACTGGAACGTGCAGTGAACGAAATTGAACTTTATGTGTCGGCTATAAGGTTTTGATTCGTAGAAGCGGCTTCAAGTTTGGACGTTCTATTAAAGAACAAGGGACGGATTATAGCATATAAAATATGTTACTCAATCATAACTTCTCTTCTATTGTATAACTATTGTGATTCTGAACGATTTGATGCTATTTGGAAGTAAAGCAACTGCGCACGAGTCGCTTTAAAGATGGATGACCAAAAATTTTGATCTCGACCTCCTCCGTGCTTTGGGAGGCACGTTAATCGGCTGCATATGAAGTCGTTAACGCTCACCGATCCGTATTGGGCCCGTTGGGTTAGGGTTCTCCGTTGAATTACCATTGGGGGATATGATGAGGCTGATAATGAAGATAATATATAGATTCTTGTCGTATAAGTATTGTAGGTAAATTAAATTATCAAATACTGAAACCAAAGTGAATTGTTTAATAACTATATTAGTTTGACTAATTATTATTGAATGTGCCAAATATAAATAAACTTGAGTGTTGGTAGAATATCTTATGTATATGTACTCTATGTGTAACTCTCTGTTTGAAACAGTACATGTATAGTAATTTTTTTCTAACTTGAGATAAGTAGTAAACAAACAACTTATCAAAGATGGTTTCAGCTATTCACTGAAAATAACTTGTAACCATCCTTTGATAATACATTTTTCGACCAACATCTTAGATGGCGTAGATTCAACCAAGATGGCGCGTAAGTTTGACATTTCTTAATAGGGTAGCAATTAAATGAATGAAAGAATGATTTCATATTGTGACATATTTGGTAGGTTTGAAATAAACTGTTTTTTCATATTTTTATATATTACGATATACTTTTTATCTCTTGTTCTCTTTCGTTTTATGTGCAATATTTGTATTTTTTTTTTCGATTAACTATTGTTTTTATTGATAGCTATTAATTTGATTTTCGTTAAGATTGTAATCAGGCATGTAAACAACTTTTTGTCTGTGTGTTTGGTAGATTATTGGAGCACATTAAGTTAAAATGTCACATGACGTTACTCTTTTGTACATTTTCTACAAAACTGTGACGAAGCGAACTCCCACTCCTCAACCGTAATGCATATTTTTTAGACGCCATATTTGTTTACAAGTTATCTCAAGTAAGAAAAAATAGACGATTAGTGACTTAAATAATAAAAAGCCACAAAAATATATAGGGAAAATAAACACGTTTTCTTGCCTTAAAATTAAATTAAAGTTTCATTTTTTATACGAACGAAAACTTGTCTGCTTTATTCATGACGTCATTTCGATATGTACACATAATCGACACTTATTTAATGAAGATGTCATTCATACAACAAGGTCAGTGCCATCTAACGATCTTGCTACAGATTAAATAGATGCAGGTAAACAAGGTAAGTACAACGCCATCTAGAGACCTGATTTAAAATAAATTGTCATCTGTTTCAAATTAACCTGACAGATACAGAAATCACGTGATACACAAACTCAATTTTATAATTTGATAAGATCATTATCAAAATTAGTATATCCGTTATTAGTTAAATGTAAATTTTAGTTTTTGTTGAATCTCATTTTATATACACTGTACAGAATATACAGCACATAATCCCACGCATCTGCAGTATAAAATTATTCGATTTAATTCGATTCTATCCATAGGGATGGCATGGGACAGGGGTCATTAATAGGTTGGTGATGTGATGAATCTCAAGAATAGATCATACACACACATAAATAGAACAACGACCAATAAAGTTTCTAAAATTGCACTCTAAAACAATATGTAGCTTTACACTGCAAGTATTTTCCTTCTATGGTATACATTCATCATTTAGCCATTGGTTACGTTGTAGAGATTACTAATTCAGCATTAAGTATCATTTACATAAGCAACAAGTAGCGCGGTGGCGTAGTGCATAAACGCCCCGGCCCGCGATCGTTGCTGTTAAGCAACTTTTGCGAAGGTCGGTCACGGGATGGGTAACTAAAAATGTTGTATCTCTCACTACTGCGTGCTTTGGAAGACACGTTAAGCCGCTGGTACTGGCTGCATTTGTAGATGTACCCTCCAATCCGCATTCTTGCCAGTGTGAAGGGTCGATCCATAAGGAAGGCCTGAGCCGCAGCAGTTAGAACTTATAAGAGCTGATGATGTTGATGATTATGGTTTAGTCTTACATAAATAAACAAGCCACATTTACAATACAAGAAAGTCTATAATTATTGACTACTTTGCTCTTTACAAATTCATTATAAGACTAAGGTTGGAGTGTACTCAGGTCATTAGAGAAATTTCATTTATTTATTTAACCTTTATCGCAATACAGCAAATGGTGAATTTAATGCAATACAGCATTCTCTACGAGTCACTCAGTAAGGGTGTCTAATAGTAATCACTATGGGCGCAACAATTAAAAACAAACGATGGGTTTGATAAAATTATATATATTTACATAAATATACACACATAAATATAAATATATAATGCACACATATACATACATATAGACTTAGAATGTTTCTGATCTGATTACAGTTCAATTTGCATTATTAAACTGGTGTCATGTTCAAAGAAAAGCTTTCATGATTCAGACAGTGCGTGAAATCATGTCTCTGAGATCTCGGAGGGTCAAATGTCACAGATTATATAGTCATAGAGTGGACGACAAAGATTAACGTATCGAACAGATGTGCCACTAAGGTATAGATAAAGCATTGTATTCAAAAACTGAAAGATGTGTTACACCTATGATTTACGTGATATAAATAAATGTAATCTTATTTGAAAATACAATTTTGTTTCATTTTTGGACTTCATACAGTAATACATATTGTCATTTTAAGGTGATTTTTTTCTGTTACATGTTAAAGACACGACATTAGTATCCATCAATTATTTAGGAAGCTTAATTATTTATTTATATTTCATCAATTTTACATTCATAATGCTATATTGGAAAATATTCTTAAAGAATAATGCTTAAAAAACTCACCAGCCCCATGTATTCGGGTATGGGTTCTCGACTCGATTCTTTTGTTTGATTTTTACCCGACTGCGCGACGCAAGGGAGGGTAATGTGTTTATCAGTCTATGTATCTATGTATGTTTGTTCCTATGTGGCGTTCTAGAGACCAAATGCGTAGGCCGATTTTGATGATTCTTACGTCAATCGATTCGTCTTAACCTTGCGAGTGTCACTAAAGACATGACAGTAATCAAAATTCACCATACCGACAATCAGACGCTATATTGTCAAAATGAAAAAATAAAAATCGATGAACTATGTCAAGTGTGGTGTCGTTGAATAGGTATTTTAAAACCATCTTCATTTTGAACAATAGGATATATAACGATTTAAAGTTGTTTAACAAACTACATTATCTCCCTCAATGAAATGACTAGATTGCGAAATTTACTATCTTATAACGACGTCAACGAATCGTAACTAAAAAGTATAAAATAAAAATAAATCATTTAATACGACTCAAAGTCGGGGCCCCTTGGGAAGATTTGATTGGTAAAATTTGAATGGGCCTCGACTGTGAGACGTTCTGTACTATATTAGAATTTATGATTTGTTTTATGTGTGTATCGATTATAAAACTATTTCAATTGTGTAGTTATTTTGTATTAATTAACAGAATTCTAATAATAATAATAATAAATATTCTTTATTGCACAATAGAAAAGACACAATATACAAAAATCTTACGCAAGCAAAATAACATCGTACAATAGGCGGCCTTATCGCTTGATAGCGATTTCTGCCAGGCAACCTAACAAAGTATAGAAATTTAACTAATAACAAATATAAATAGTACAATATATAAAGTACTGGGCTTGTTTCTTTCTTTTTAGTTTTTATTTAAGTTAATTTGTTCATTTATTTTTTAAATAAGTTTTTACGCGGTCAGGTTTTTTGTTTTTCTTTTGTTCGTTTTATTTGTTTCCCAATTCTAAAGGTTCTGGAAGCAGGACTTTGATGTGGTTAGTATCTACATATCTGCTGCTCTTGAAGTATTTCCTCCTCAAACACCCTTTAGTTGAAATACGGTTATTACAGCTTTATTTCTAATTCTGACGACGACATAATTATTAAAATTATATTAGTCTTAAGATATTGGGGGTATAGGTACTTAATTCTTGGACATTTAGTTAAAGTTGCCTATTACTGCTGAAATAAATATAAACGCGGTTCTCTGTCGGCTCAGGCTCAGAGGGTTATGTTTGGTGTGTTTCTGCGAGATCAAATGAGAAATGAGGTGATTCTCTGATGAACCGAGTTGACCTACATAACCTGAAGAAATGCGAGCTTAAAGTGGCAATGGATAGGGCACATGATTTGTTGGCCGTTGGAAAGTATAATCCTCGATTTGCAACTACGGATCTGAAAAGAATGTAGACCGGCATTTTTCTTGGCTGATTGCCTAATTTTAAATTCTTTCGCAACCCCTTTTAATAGCGATTTTGATATCAATTCCAACACTTATATAACTACTAAAGTAATCACTTTTGAAACGATTTTATACGATATATATATGAACATTAAAATAATAAAAAAACCTCAACCGGTTGAAATATTGCAGATAGCATCTCTCAATGTCGTAGATAATTCCAAATAACGTCAAATTAATATTATCGTTCATACAATATCCTTAAAAAAGCGCCACAGTTGTAATCGCAATCATATATCAAATGGTTGTAGCTTGCAGTTTATGTGTACCTTTTAAATGTAAAATTGAAAGGGACTGTAATAAATTAAACATTAGTCGATTAACCCCCTGAACCGTTGATCTCGATCGCCGGGAAGCGTTGGACGACTACAGCGCGGAACCGTTCGTTCCGTGCAGATTTGTTAGTTGGGGCCAAAGACATTACAATAAAAATTAAACGTCTTTCTCGCTTTAGAGATTCAGTATTACTATATACCTACTTAGTGCTTATTAAATTGACGAAGTGTTATTAATAAGTAGTACCTTGTTACACCTATCTAGGT